CTTATACTTCTGGACTTCAGCAGTGCTTTCAACTCTGTGGACTTTGACGTATTGCTTGCTTCCCTTCGCTCTTTTAATATTTCTCCTTCGGTTATAGCTTGGTTCGACTCCTACCTCAGAGGCCGCTCGCAGTGTATTCGCTCTGACGAGGCTTCCTCTGATTGGTGTGACTTAGTTGCTGGCGTTCCTCAGGGTGGCGTTCTTTCTCCTCTCCTTTTCTCTGTTTTCATCAATTCTGTCACTCTTGTGCTGTCTTCAAACTTTCATCTCTATGCTGACGATTTGCAGCTATATCGCAGTTTTAAAGCGTCTGAAGTCGTTGCAGCCGTTGAAGCGGTTAACGCTGATTTACGAAGCATCGCTCATTGGGCTGAGTGTTTTGGTTTGTTGGTGAATCCCAAAAAATCACAGGCTATGATTGTGGGAAGTGGGTATATGCGTGGCATATTGCATCTAGATTCTGTCCCACCTATAGCGTATAATTCCACGCCTATTGCTTATGCTTCTACTGCAACTAATCTTGGCCTGCTTTTAGATTGTAATTTGGTTTGGACTCCACATATTAATGAAGTCAGTCGTAAAGTTCATTTCTCCTTGCACTCACTTAAGCGCCTCCAAAACGATTTACCTTTAAAAACCAAAATATGTTTAGCCCAAACACTTATTTTGCCCTTCTTAGACTATGCTGATTCCTGCTATTTGGATGCTACTGAAGAACAGCTAAATAAGCTTGAACGACTGCAAAACCTATGTATAAGGTTCATTTTTGGGCTTCGTAAATATGACCGAATTTCAAATTTCCGCAGTCAGCTCAAATGGCTCCCCATCCGTCTCCGCAGGAATTTGCATATTGTCTCCATTCTTTACAATATTTTACATAACCCTATGTCTCCCGGGTACCTGAAAGAGCGTTTCAGCTTCCTTAGGTCCCAGGATAAACCCTGTCGCTCTCTTGTTAGGACCCAGTTATCTTTTCCATGCTTCAATTCCGGTTTCTATTCTCACTCCTTCACTGTTCATGCGGTTAGACTTTGGAATGCACTTCCTATTACTGTTCACGAAAGTAAATCGTTAGCTATTTTTAAAGTGAGAGTTAAAGAGCATTATTTATCTACTATTCCATCCATATCTTAGGTATTATATTATAAAATATGTATTTATCTAAGTATTTATATAATTTAAAACAATTTAATATTTTTTATATTTTTTTTTTTTCTTGTTTTGTTGTGCACATATGCCCGTTCTTTTAGTTATAGTGTCCTGTATTTAGGTCTGCAGGAAGAAATTTCTATTAGAAATAAGCAGAACCTTTTGTTTTTAATTTCGCTTGTATTCTTTGTGACTTGTTGTATTTTTCCTGTACAATAAACTATTAAATAAATAATAAATAAATAACCGTGATTGCAACCGAGCGTGATTGCAGCGCGACAGTCGCGCGGCCGCCGCGCGGTTGCAGCGCGCTTCTAGAAATTGTATAAAAAGTGATAATCGTGCGGCCGCCGCGCAGCTGCAGTGCTGCTGCAGCGCGGCTAACAGCAGCTTTTTTTCTCACCTACAGAATTAAAAAAAAAACTAAATCATCCATATCGGTTTGACGTAGAATAAGCGCTAAGCATTTAGCATTTGTTCTTAAATAAATCAAATTCTTGAATGAAACTAATATTGAATAAGTACCACAATGTTTTACTACAATGATATTCTATTATTTTTTGTAAAATGACTCCACTAGTTTTTTATTATTAATACAAAGATTAATAACACTAAGAAAAAATATTTCGTTTCGGCTGGATTAGAACCAGTGCCTTCAGCATATTGTGGCTGATGCTTTCCTAACTTAGCTTCGAAACGAACCAGCAGAACTTACGGTGTTGCAGACCTTTATTTTTAGGTTTTTAAATGAAATAAATTTATTTTATTATATATTTGTTTTTTCGTAACAGAACAACGTAGATTCTTTACAGGCCCCACGATCACTACTGACTGTAAAGAGCAAGGATTTAGATCCGAAATAAATGTTTGATTTTGTATGTATAGCAATCCGGTAGATTTAAGAGATCGATAGATCAAATAGTGTTCAAATGTCAACTACATTTGAATATAAAATATTTTTTTGTGAAATGAATTACTTAGTAACAATATTGTCACTTGAGAAATACCCTATGAAACGCCCTTTTGCGTCACTAATCACATGAAGGTAATTGTTTTGTTTTCCGTTTGTGTTCGCTTCGTGAAAAACGATTATAGTAATAACACAGGCAAAATTAGTTGGGTTCATTTTAGGTAAAATATTGTTGATAATTATAATAATTGCAAACATATTTATTTTTTTAATAATTATCGAAAATAATTGTCCAGTCAGTATTATTAACAACACACTTAGTCGATATTGATTCATCACTTCCGCAAGATGGCTATTTAAAATTAGCCTGTATTTATTGTATATATTGTATTCTTTTTTTAACACAAAGCCAGATTTATTGCCAATGGCTATTATTCATTGTACAAACATAAAGAATACAACAACAATACGACCATTCTTCACCTGTACCTTTTAACTATTTATTAGCACTAATATCAAGTTAATTGGTGATAACAAAGAGTTAGTAAAAACGCAGTAAAAAGTGAGGACGCAAATTTGCACGGTCAAGCAAATTGCAATTGCAAATTTTCGATAACTTACGGGGTACCAAAAAAGTTTTATCTTGATTTTTATATAGCTAAGGTATTTTACATCAGTACACCAGCTGTGATACGGTAACCCATTTTGTTGCATCCTGTATGTACAGTATCGAATAAAAACTACAAATCATAAATTTTTTACAGCTTTATGAATAACAATAGTTCCAAACATATTGTTATATAGTTTAAATGTGAATGTAGAATGTCCTATGTATTGATAATAACAAATTTCTTAATAATATTTAGTTTAGAAGTTACCAATAATATCGCAATCAAATCAAATGGGGAAACTTTTAATATTGTACTTCGAAGGAAATTTCTTCCAAGTCTTCATCAATCAGGGCGACGATCTCAACAAGATGACGCGGTGAGGTTGTTAAGAAAAACTAAAGACATCATAAATGAGCGACAGAGTAGAAAACAGGTGTGTATTATGTCTCAAATTATTATACCAACCATATTATGGGGCACAAGTTTAATTTAGCGATAAAAATCTAAGTCCTTACTTTAAAAAGGAATATCGACTAACACGCTTTTGAGGACAATGAGAGATAATAATGTACCAGTAGGGTTAGCACAATAGGGCGCGACTTGCGCGAGAGCGACTTAGAGTGCATGATTTCTATGGGAGAAGTATCTCTCGCGCTCGCTCAAGTCGCGCCTCATCGTGCTAGCCCTACAGAGAAATCTCAAACCAGAGAATCCTAGTACTTAGGTTTTCGCGATTGTTACACATAAGAACCAACGTTTTGGACCCTTTACATGGTCACAGCTGGTCCACTCTGACCCCATGGGACCTGTAAAGGGTCCGATACGTTGGTTTATTAGAAAAAAAAAACAAATATACGCGATTTAGATAAAAAAAAATAGTTTCATTTGCTAGAGAATTGTCTGGAGTACCAGAGCAACGGTATTTATTTCAGGGCACTACCCAGAACACCAACACCAGAACCAATTTTACTTTATTTCCAAAATTGGTTCTACCGGAAATCCGGAACCTCCTCATCCAGTACCAACGATGCAAAGCGTTTGTTCGGATTGTTAACCAAAGACAAGGGATCTGTACTTCTAGAGTCTGTTAATTCGACGTTTGTTCGGATTGTTAACAAAATACAAGGGATCTATACTTCTAGGGTCTGTTAATTCGACCACATGAACTTAAAATGCATATTATATAAAAATCTTTTGAGTCATTATTGTTCATTTTTCAGATGCCAAGAGAAAATATAAGTCAAGAAATAATGGGCTACAAAACAGCAAAACACATATTTCAAGACGGGAACAAAACAAATAATCACAAGCTGTACTTAAGGTGGTTAATCTTAACAATTATTTAAACATCGTAACTGCTCAAAGTTATCATACTAAGATATATAAAAGAATATTTGACCATTATTATTTCAATATTTTTTCGGATCAATATTTTAATGGCAAAGGTTAAGTGTGAACACATTTTTGGTAACCGTAATCTTCGTAGTGTGGATTGCAATATATTAACTTCTGGCTAACATCCCCGTGCCCCTATTATGAGGTCAATTTGAAAATAAGTTCATGAAAATGGAAGTAAATTATAAAAAATAAATAATAAATAAAATAATTTCATTGCAAAACACAGAAAATTAGTTACCGAGATGTGCCTAACTCTCAAACTAGGATTCCCTGTACTATAGGGAGCTATGTTTTACTATTAATGTATTATTTAATTTATTTTTTATTTTATGAATTTATTATATTAAATTAATTTGCTACTTCACAAATCCAGTGAAAGTTAAATCCTGGAAAATAGCTGTGTTTAATTTTTTTTTGTTTCATGCTCTTAATTTTATCACGCCCTTTGCACAAAAATTAATATATAAAATACATTTTCGGCTAAATCGAACAGTCATCAGAATCAACAATTTCTACCTCCTAGAGCGGCGTATGTGATTGTAGTTAGCTAATTTTCAGTTTAGTATTCTCTACCTAATTTCGGTGTCTATTTTTATTGTAGAATTTTATTATAAAGTATTAATTAATATTGGAGTGTAGTATCCTGAAATATTATTTAATACTTCACGATAATATACTTTAATATTAAATTATAGTCCAGGATACTACACTTGAAAACTTAAATAATCAAAAAGTGTCACCGATATTAGATAGAGAAAATTAACCTGACAATTACCCAATTGCGCCATTTTATGGTGAAGAAATTAACAGTATGAAATAAGAAACAACACAGTTCAGTGGCTTCGTGGAGAGATTAATTTGCTAAAATTAATTTATATACATTTTCGTTAATCTTCGACCGATTGTCGAATAATCTAACGCTTGAAGATGCCTCATGCTGCATTACTGTAATAAAGGCAGCGATATATAATGTAGATAAGTGTAATTTCTCTTAAAGAGTATAAAGTAGATTTCTTCTTCTTTTTCGTTACACTCTTGACCGAGCTGTCGTAGTCGACCTACGGTATCCCATCTCTATCTGTTAATGGACTCCCTGGTGCATTCAAGGAAGGACCGCCCACTGCAGACTTTATTTGGTTGGTTCATAGCACGGGTGACCTTTCACACAGTCTAGTGCCCTCAACTCTGCCCTACACGATAAGATGCTCTATGGAGTCAAAGCTCCGTCTTGAGACGTATCCGAAGAGAAAGTAGATTAACAGTATATATAATTTATTCCAGCTTATAAAATGATACTGACCAAATACTCATTGTGTATTTATTACATGTTTCTTGTGAGGAACGTAGGGTCTTTGACTCCAGTGGTAGACTGATGGGTAACCTTAAAACAAGACAACTTTTGCCCATAAATAACAAATGGAATCCCGAGGTATTTGTGCATTATAGGAAAACAAAAGATCAGTATTATGACGCTGATTTATTTAGCAGAATAGAAAAACTCACAGTAAGTACAGAAATTATTACTTCACTTTTAGTGTTAGTTACAAAAATGGCTTCTGGTTTACACGTATTAAGTGACGCGTGTAAACAATCGCTTAACCAGCTGTTTAATGATCATTGGTTTGGTGGATAAGTAGATTAGAATCGAACCTATTTTTTAATGAAGTAGCCGGCCCTCTCGCAAGCGCGTGCATCCGTGTGCCATGCTAATGCCGGATGACAATTGATGGGCTTATGTTTTGTCGTGAAACTTATAGCTTCACTGAAACATGTGTAAATGTTTGACTACTTAAAATTAACGTAAAATTTCTTTAACACTTGGCCAAGCGTAAACCATCCACTATGCTCAGGCTGTAGGGCCAGAAAATGGAAATTGCAAAGTTCGTAGTGTCTGAAAGCATTATAGGAATGTACCAGACAACCACACAAAATGTGTGGTTTTAAATTAGGGAATTTCCTACTTTGTGAGCAACAAAACAACGAAATTCATTCCTGGACAGAAGAACCAATTTAGAAAAGTTCGTTTTCTAAATAATGATTCTGTCGCGAAACCACATCGATAACCACTAGATTGTGGAGATAGTAAAAAATGCTAGAGGTAGGTGATCCTTAGATGTACCGAAACACGCGAATCGTATAGCAATCAACGTTTTCCAGCTGACCTGCTGAATAGCACATCGAGCCGTATTCTTTTGTTCGAATAATGCCTTCAGAGCAAAGAAACAAGAACCTTGAATATGCTGCCGTTCGTAATCTAAGGATTTTTATGGAATGGTTCTTACAAACTAAACTCATTTATCATTGTTAACAGGGTACTATAAGTAGATCAACAACGCCACAACCACAAATGCAGCACCAAGTGAAACAACAAGGTACAAAACAAATCTATATAACAAGGTACATATAAACAAATGGTATTTAAAACACCGAATAATATAATAGGGGTTAAAGTATGAAATTGCCGATTTGTACTGAAAATCTAAATTGTTTA